TGAAAAGAAAGAGAACTCCTTCAGTAACAAACTAATGACAAAATGTTCTCTTTTACCAGCTTTGTTACGGAAAAAGGTAACAGAACTTTCTGAAAAAAATTCAACGCTTTCACTTTGAAGAATGACGATTATATAATTGCCTGCATTATAATTCTTTAATGAAGCTTTTAATTTGATTCAAATTTTCATAGTAGATATAAAAAAAAAAAGTTCTATGAATGATATAAATCTCAGCTCCTGATGATTTTGTACTACTCAGGAGAAACTCACATTATAATAAAACATGTAGAGTGACAATTTTTCAACCCATATTTCCTTAGTTAAAACTTATTTAAGAATATTCATTTCGGGTACAATTTAAATAAATAGAACACGGCAAGCAAATTTCAGTGTATTCTGATCTTTTTCTGTCTTATCTTTCAAACAGAGCTTAAAAATGAATCGAATTCGTTCAATGATTAAAGTTAATTTTATTATTGAATTTAACTATACAACGTGTATTTCTCTTACTATTCAATTAAGTATTGAGAAACACTTGCAGCGTAACACAAGCATAGAGATCATAATAAAATATACAAATCAGAAATTGTTTAGGCGTACGTTCAGTTTTTCATGCTAGTCGTATTAAAAAGTTGCAATTCACTCCTACATCACTTTTTTGAAAGTAATTTCTGATCTAGATTATTCTTATTTAGATTGCTATTATTAAGTTATGGATTCAATTAATGATACCAAAAGTTGAAGATGGAAATAATTTTGGTGTTAGCATACAAGAAGTATGCATATTATACTTAGAAAAAAAAAACAAAAAGAATTTTTCGATTTAGGATTCGTTAGCAGAAATTCGTACATTAGAAACGGATGTAACACAATATCTTGATTTAACATATAAATATTTAGTATCACGTGGTGAACTTGTTAAAAAAGTAGCTAAATATCCTCATGTTGAGGACTATCGTCGGAGTGTTCAATCATTAGATGAAAAACAATTTGTTTCAATGCGTTTTATTGCACTTGAACTTCGTAATCATTATGTAATATCAAATTAATTATTTTCTTTCTATTCTTTTTTAAATTCAATTATTTTTCTTTTTAGACCAGTGTTCATGATCTTTTGATGAAAAATTTAGAAAAAATCAAAAGACCACGATCTGTTCAAACACATTCGATGTATTAAAGAAAAAAAAAATAATAAAAGAAAATATTATGAAGATTTGATCTACATCCTATTCTTTGTCTAAATGGTTCACTTCTTTTTTTTTTGTGTTCTTGTTCTCAATAAATTGTTACCGTTCTTCATTAATATAAACATCTAACCTTGAATTTGAAATTCATTATTTTTATATATCATCTTGTCGAACATCAATCACATAGTGTTAAATTTACTTAGGACTTTATATAAATGTCTCATTAGACTCAATATTCAATAGTAGCAGTATAAAGATGAGCGATTATGATCTCGAATGAAATCTAAATTGTCAATTTTGGTTTTTAGACTAAAAAAATTTGAAACCAGAAATATTCTCATGGAAGACAATGCACTTCTTCATCTTACCTTTCAGCTATCAATTCAATTAATAATTTAGAAATATAAAGGGTGTCCCAGAAGTTCTGTTACAATTTTGAAATTCATCGTTCTCGCGTTCAACAAAAGGCAAACTTCTTGAAACTTTGGCAGATTATTGTACCTATCAAGTACTACATAACTACAANCAATTTTCACGTAGAAAATAGATGACAACCTAGAATTAACATGATCTTATAGGTTTCAATACATTTTCTTTCGAGTGGCGTATCCAGAAGAAGCACAAAAATGATGAATTTCGAAGAAAATTTTTTCAGATTTTTCCGTTTTTGAATAATTTACATTTTAGTGGCATTCACTGGCATGTGACCGATAATTTGTCCCACCCCCTTTTGCCTATCTTCTGACCAAACTACCAAGAGTTAAGAGCTAATTTTTTTACCACAAATGTCAATTGTTGGGCACAACTGATATTGTAAATATCAGGACTCTAGCTCATTTCTAAATGAAGTAATTTGAAAAACACAGTGACATGTTCCATTCTATAGTTTGCACTACCCTCCTATCCGACTGAAAAATCTGAAAAAATTTTCTTCGAAATTCATCATTTTTGTGCTTCTTCTGGATACGCCACTCGAAAGAAAATGTATTGAAACCTATAAGATCATGTTAATTCTAGGTTGTCATCTATTTTCTACGTGAAAATTGTAAAAGATCCCTTAATGAGTTTTTACAAATCTTTTGATCTCCAAATCCGACGAAAGAAAAAAATGGCAGTTTGCAAAACTATTTTTTCTTATAGTTTGAAGTGTGTTCTATTCGCTGATAATACTTTTAAGTGCACTCATTCACTTTTCTTGTCGACCATATTTTCAAAAAAAACGGTACAATAGGCAGTAGAATCACTCATATAAATCAATCTACAGATAATTTTCATTGGTCGCAAAAGACAATGACAAGAAATCAAACAAACCTTATGAATGATTTAGTTATTATTGATGCATATAAAGCAAACTCTCAGAACTAGATAATTTACATGCTAATATGCATACTCAATCATTCAAATGCACAATTGCGGCTCTTTAAGCGTCACAATCACTAACTTCCTTTCAAAGAGCAGTGTCTCATGCGTAAGAATTTCAAATACCATAACTGCTGATCAGAGATAGAATCAATATGGATTTTGGATGGGAGGTACCGATTTGAGTAGATTAGACCGGACTGATCGATATACTTGTCGTAGTATTCCATCTGCGGATAATGATATACAACATAGTCAAATTTCAACAAAATTTCATTATACATCTTCTATGAGATGTATTATTAATATATCTTTCATAAAGTTCGTTTTGATTGCTTCTAATTAGTTATTGTCTTAGATGTCACATTATAATATTTGAAAGTAAAATTTGTTTATATTATTCGTATGAAAATAAAAACTTTGAAAACGTATCTACTGCAAACCAAAAATTTAGTCCATTTGATTAAAACATAGTCAAGATATTTTGAATTTTTTTCATCTTAGTACGACTTATAAATCATCCTGAATTTCAAACACGTAAGTGTTCACATATTTCAATAAAAAAAGAATATCATAAATAACTTAATCTTTCGCTGTCTATCTGAATTATTTTTGTTATCTATTCAATAGTTTATACTTTGTTAAAGTTATATGACAAAATTCGTATAGTACAAAAAGAGAAAAAAAATAAAGAAAGTTCAAATTAATGTGTGGCACAATTAACTTGTGTTGGTCCACCATGAACACGTGGATCATCATCATCATCATCGATTTCATTTTTATGTGAATCTTGTGATTGTCGAGGATCATATTCAGTTAAAACACATTCTTCTGCATCCATTGGTATACTAACTTGTGGACGTGGTGGTAATAATTTTTCTAATTTAGAAATCTTTTCTGGACGTATTTCATTTTTAATTGGAAATTTAACATCAAAATGAAGAACGAGTCGACCTTTTTCTAATGGATTTTTATATACAGGCATTCCTTCATTTAATATACATTTAATATCACCAGATTTAACAATTTCACCTGAAAAAGAAAACGAATTTTTCTTTTTTCTTCTTCTTATAATTACAATAGAATTGAATTCTTACCTGGTAATGATGTTATAACAAGTTGTCGATTATCAAGTGTTTTAATTACTTTTTGAAAACCACATAATGATTCTGTTAATGTTATTTGTGTATTCATATGTAAATCAGTTTTATCTCGTTTAAATATCGGATGTTCTTTTTCATCCAAAACAATAATAATATCACCTGCTTCAAGTCCTGGTTCTTGATCACCTTCACCATTAAATGTTATTTTCTTTCCATCGTCCATACCTAAAAAGAAGAGTTTTTTTTTGTCGTTTTTCTTTTTTTTTCAAGATTAATTACCTTTATCAATATGTACTTCAATAATTTTTCTTTCTCGAACAATTTTTTTTCCATCACATGTTTTACATTTATCTTTCGGATTTATTTTTTCTCCTTGACCATCACAATCTGAACAATGTGAACGCATTTGTTGAATCATTCCAGGTCCTATTTGATTGATTCGAACAACAAAACCAGATCCATTACATGTTGTACATTTTGATACTGCACCTTGCTTTCCACCACGACCTATAAAAAAAAAAAATAGCAAAAATTCTAAGAAAAAAAAAAAACAAACAAAATTTGAATTTTACCTTCACATTTATCACAAATAATATTTTTTTGTAAAGCTAATTTTCTAACAGCTCCATTATAAAGTTCTTCTAATGAAACAGCTAATTGATGAACGAGATTTTTTCCTCGATTATCCTGTCGATTACCAAATGAACCACCGAAGAACATATTAAATATATCGAATGGATCTGAACCATGAAATCCACCAGCACCTGCACCTTCTTTTAATCCTTGTTCACCAACTTGATCATATAATGAACGTTTCTTTTCATCAGATAATACTTCATCTAATAAAACAAAACAAAATTTTTCTTTATTAAATAATTTTTAAAATAAATACTTACATGCTTGAGATAATTGTTTAAATTGTTCAGGATCATTATCCGGATTTTTATCTGGATGTAATTTCAAAGCTAATTTACGATAAGCTTTTTTAATTTCATCCACTGTAGCATTTGGTTTAACACCAAGAATATCATAATATTTTGTTTCTTTAACCATGATTAGTAAACGCTAGCAAATACAAGAAGTTTCTAGAAAGATCGAATATAAACTGAATAAGACACTCACAATTTGCTTATATGTGTATAGAAAAGGAAGAGAAAAGAAGAAATTAATGGGAAACATAGGGCGCGAACCAATCAGATTCTAAGATGAATCAGAGAACGAATTTTTTGTTTGTTCTCTGAAGTTTTTTGTTTCGAAACAATATAAAAATAATTATTACCAAAAAGACAAAAAAAAAAATGCACACATCTGACAAAAAAATAAAGAATAAAAAATTTAAATAAAAAGTTATTTAGAATTTTTCCATAAGTCCATCAAATCCAATTAATGTTCGATTTATTACATGAATATGTTCTTTTAATTTTAACCAAAATAATTTTGATGCTTCACATATTTCTGTTGATGGATCTTCTGGAATACCAAAGAGAAGATTTGATAATAATGGAAATGGTACAGCAGTATTTGTAAGACCAAATGCTGGACCAATTAATATATGTCTAAAACAAATGTTTTTTATTATTATTATGATTAAAATAATAAAAAAGTTTTTATTTACTTGTATATTTTATCGATTGTATTCATTCCAGGTAGATGATCATTACTGAGAAATAAACGTTCAAATTCAATTAATTGTTCATTTATTGATTGAAAACGAAAATAACTATGACGATCAGAAAAAACGAATTTATTGATTTGACTCATTTTTAAAAAATAAATATTCATACTCGTTTTTAGGTAGTTGATCAATATATAATTGAAATTTTCGAATAGATTTTGTTAAATCATTTAATGTTATTGTAAAATCACCTAAAAGAAATTATTATTATTATTATGGATTGAAATAGAAAATTCTTTGTCTTACTAGGATCACCAATATGTGAACCTACTGAACCATATCCTCTATTGTAATGCTCAATATATTGAATAACTTGTTTGTCTATTTGATTGGCATAATAAGCTAAATTAAATGAAATTAATGGTTCATCAATTAATTGACGAATTATTTCAGTAACGAATTGTGTGTAAGCAACATAAACTTCTGGTTGAATTTCTCGTTCAAAAGCAGGGGATGAATAACAAACATAAAATGTATCATTTGTTAATGCCTATTAAATAGAAACTAATGAATAATGATGATTTCTTAATCGATAAAAAAGAATGAAATCAACATAATCAAAAAAGGTATAAAACAATGATTATATTTTTCAATGGTTCTCAAATTTAAAAAGTGAAAATTTAAAAGATTTGTAATTAAATAAAGAACTATATTTTTACCTTCGTTTAAAGAGAGCCACTATCTTGTTGATTGGTATTTATACTTGCTCACCACAATAGTTACTCTCCTTTTTCTTTTTTGCGTTCTTTTATACTGTCTATGACAAAACAGAGAACGCGCGAGAATATTCGAGAACATGCCGGAAAGATACAGTATTTGTTAGTAATTTTATTCTTCTTGACACCAACTTAGAAGGAAAAAAAAATAAATATCAATATACGTTAGAATAATCTCAAAAAAGAATTATCATCATTCGAAAAGATTCAAAATTATAAAATTTATATTCGTTTTTGTTGCTAGTGAGTAGTTATGCAATACTTATAGATTTTTTTCTTCTCGAAAAAAAAACAAGAGAAGAAAGGAATTAAGACACCTGAAAATAAAATAAAAGACGAACAAAATCAATAAAATAAAGAAGGAGGAATCAAAATCAAGATGTAATAGCGAGCTTGTCTTCACAACATGATATTTAAAAGATGTAAGAAAAAAAATCCAACTAGCATTCTTATGATCTTACCAAAGTCGTTTTACTAAACAAAACTTAGTATGTTGAATAAATAAAAACTTCTTATTTAAATAATTTTTTTTCTTGGGAACAGTATAAATATGTATACCTGTTGATTAGTCATTTCAATTAATATTGATGGAATTCCATATTGTAGTTGAAATAAAGCAGCTGATGAATCGATGTCAATTGTTTGAACAATACCTAAAATATTATTTAATCCAATTTGATTTTTACTTGCTGTAACCCATTCATCAAATAATTTTTGTGGTTCACATTCCGTTTGTTCTTGTTGATTTTTTTCTACATGTTGTTCATGTCCATCACTGGCACGTCGTTTTCGATCATGGCCATGATGATGATTTTCTTCAGTTGAAACGGTTGTTGTTACTAATTGATTATGACATGTATGATTATGTTCAATTGGACTTGGTACGAAATTAGCGGCACGACTAGCAACTTGTTCAAGTAATGGTGAACCATGTAAATTAAGAGTAGAATTTGCAAGAACACCATTTCCAAGATCAAGATATGCTATTAAGTTTTTATCAATAAAACGATAATTATCCGAAAGCCAACGACGAGCTAAAAATTATTCAAGAATAAAAAAAAAAATTATAGGTTTTATGTCATGTTTTCTAGGATATTAATAAAATAATAGAAAATAAAATTGGATGAAACTACAACACATTGAGTGAAACGAAAATCGAAAGGTTGATTTAATACAAAACGACTTGTCGAAAAAATTTTCAAATTCCTACAGAAATGATTCTGTATTTGATTTGATAGTTAGAAAGTATTAAACTTTAGGAACTAGAAAAATAGCGTTAGTCATAGATGAATGCATGTTTTACTAATTATCGTTATTCTTACTTGTATAATGATCATAATCTAAACCAGACCAAGCACAAAATAGAATTGATCGTCTGAAAAAAAGAGAATAACAACAAATGAATATTGAAATAGATATTTTCAAAATAAAATAAACCTTGGATTCCAACCATTCTTAATTTGATTCGTATAGGCTTCTATAATTTCATTCATGATTCTATTTTGTTGTATTGTACCTAATTGATAACCAATCATAATAAAACGATCAGTATCAATTGTGCCACGAATTGAACTCATAACAACAGGCAATTCTATTTTCATAGGTTCTATATTCACAACTACTCGAATTCTCATAGTTGAAAGCTCTCCACCTATTCTTAGTGCAGTCACTTTATCATGCCATTGAGTCGGACACATTAACCATGGATTTGAATTTGATTGAAGTAATTGAAATATTTTTTGAACATCATCATATGAAATTATTAAAAGAGAAATAAAATGATTGTCATCATTAAGAGTACCATCAATAAACTTTTGACGTTCTTAACAAAAGAAAAGGTTTTAAATTTTAATTTAACTTTTATTTGATTATTTTTACCTTCTTCAGATAAATATCTAGCCCAACCTCGAAAAAATGTATGTCGATCATTTGTTGTTGTAATTTGTGCATTTTCATTATCATCAAATAAAACTAAAGCACCAAAACCGTAATAAATTGCTTGATGAATTTGTTCAGTTTGAGAAATAAGTGTTGGTTTACGTCTCATAAATACAATTGATTTTTCAGGATCTTTAAAATGAATACGATTTTTAAATAAATAAGCAAAATCTTCTTGTCGACCGTAATTAACATAATAAATTGACTTTCCATTAATTATACCAGATTTAACAAGTGATGAAAAGAAAAGAAAATTTTCCGTTGGCAAAAGATCAACTTTTAAAAGTTCTTTGTCATTTTTATCATCAAATAATTGAATACCACTCCATTGAGTTGATGGAGCAAATTTTGATAAATTGATATCATAGGTTAATTTATTTATATGAGTTAATGATGGAGAATATGATTTCCATTGTTCATATAATTTATTAGCAGCATCATTTTCAGATTCAATTGAACTAAAAATAAAAATTTTGTAAAAAAAAATTGTAAAAACTATTTTTTAAAGAAGCATTTACCGAGTAAGATCCATAAAATTTGTTTGTTTTATTGATTGAAATAATTTTGCTCGTATTGATAAATCAATATTTGTTGCTGATTCAACAAAATTTGAAGGCAATGATGTTTGTTCATGTCCAGATGCATGCGATATTCGATCAAGCAAAATAATAACTCCAGTAAGACATCCTAAGATGAAAGCACCCAAGACACAAGCAAAGCATAATATAGGATGAGCATTAGAAATAGGATGACGTTGATATGTTTTTGGACGCTTAACAACAACAGGAAAACCATCATTTCCAGAATTTAATGGAGCATTTGTTACGTTATGATTATCATTATCTTCATCATCATCATCAGCTGCTGCCGATAAAAGGAGAGCAGTTTGTTCTTCAGTTCCCAATTGATGCATATTGTCGTTGCTGGTTTCACAAATTTACCATGAAGAAAAAATCAAAATCGAATGTGTGAGTATCAACATTTGATCGCGTTGCTCAGACACAATAGTTATAATGGACTTTTTTTAATAGACGTAATTTATAATTTATTCTATTTCAAAGTGGAAATCAAATATAAGCTTAAGTAAAGTAAAGAAAAACAATAACAATCTAAAATATTCATTATAGATGTCACTTTTAAACAACAAGAAATCTTCATAAAATTGAATCATTTACATGATTTGTTACATCTTCACGCTTGTTTCTATGCATCATAATTAGAAACCTACGTGACGATGGTTTTTGGTTACGATCAAGGTCATGTCGCGGACGATGACTACATTGTAGATGTCTAGCCGTAATATTGTACTGTAATATTAACAAATGTCGATCTCTGATGCTGTTATGCATGCTATATTAAATCTTGATTGATATAAAATAGTCATAGTAGCTTATCTTAAGTGTCGAAAAGAAAGGATCACCTAAAATATATAGATCTTTCTAAGCTTGAGACATTATGTTTTTCAACTATCGAAATGACCGATAGATAATCAGATTGTTTATTGACAATAACATAACAAATCAGCAGAAAAAGGACATCTAACAATAGTATAACTGCAACTATTATAGGTCGTAGTCGAGGCTAAGAAAAGCTTAAGAAAACTCGAGTACATGGCCTACTGATGAAGATTGATGATTGTTTCATTGAAATATTTACTGAGAACAGGACATATTTGAAAAGTTCAAAACAAAGAGTTTCTAGCTCTAATTTTGTTTATAGATAGAATTCATAGTAATTAAATAGTCTTGTTGTGTCTTCGTATGGGTGTCCATTGTTTTTCCTGGAAATTGAATATATTGATAAAGACATATTCATTTCCATTGAAAATTTCAGGATTATCTAAAGATTGCCAAACCTCTATATAGACAAATTTTCAGCTTGAAACTATTTGTTTCGAATTTTTTGTAAAACCTTCCTCACAGTACAAATTTCATCAGTATACTCTAGGTCAAAATTCCTTCAAACTTTTCTTAATCTCACCAAGACCTTTTCGTAGGTTTAATATAAAACCGAGCGGTGTCCAACAGCACGATATATATCCTTGTAAGAATAGAAAAAACATGTAGTATAACAATGGAATATTTCTCTTGTAATAATTAGATAAAAAATATATCGTCTAATATGATGTCAGAAAAATGTTATTATTTAAGCAATTGAATTTGTCTTTGCAAGATTTATATCAATTATTAAACCAATTATGTACATGTATAACGGGTAATTTAGTTTCGATTTCCGACTGAAAACAACCATAATCTTTTTCAAAATACAACATATGATAAATATATTAAGCAGAAAGTAACAATAAATATTTTTGATGAGAAGGAAGCATCAAACACTTGTTATACTTGATCGAAGAAGATTTTTTTTTTCTAATGAAAAATAAATTAAAACAATGCATTGAATAGTAAAACATTCTTGTCTATATTGATCTCTATCAGAATTTATTATTTGGCTTATCTTATACAAATAGATAAATAAATAAATAAATAAATAAATAAATAAATAAATAATATTTACATATCCATGAGTTTTTTAGCATCGGAAGTTATAGTTAATGACGAAGATGTCGATATATTATTATCACCAATAAGACTATCTTCATCTCCTGAACTAAACATTTTTGATGTTAAATCAGATATTTGATCAAGTTCAGGACCACTTTCATTATTATAAATTTGTTGTTTGCCTATTGTTGTCGTCATTTTTCTTGTATCAACTGTTGTAGATGTAGGCAATACCGGTAAACTTTTATACAAAGTCGTATGGTTTCGTTGTTCATAAGATAATGATGTAGAAACTGAAGATATTAATATTGAATCGGCATCGTCAATAGTTGATGATGAACAATGTGTTACATCAATTGTTGGATTTCGATTATATTGAAATTTTGAAACAATATTCGAATCATTTAGAATAGTCGGCGTTACAAAAATAAGTTTTGGTTGATGTTTATTCATTATAACAATTGGTGATGCATATGATTCAAATGTAGCAGACTGAGGTGGTGACGTTGCTGCTACTTTGTGAGGAATTTCGAACAAAATAGAAGATGGTTTAATAGCTGATGAAGTAGATTTTGTAGGAGTTTGATGAAAAGAGCTAATAACAAAAAAAAATACATACGATTGCTTAATAATCAGAATCTCTCTTGAACAAAAGAAGAAGATCCTTTTTCAATCATCTCTTCTTTTCTTTCTCTTGAATTATTTTAAATTCATTTGTTGATCATTCCACAGCTAATAGAGTCAACTACATATTTAAAGGGTGTTTCATAATAATTTGTATTAAATTATCAACGACACTTTTCATACTTTTCTTCAATTAGAAGGTTGGAATCAGTGATGAGCGAGACTAATCATTTTTGGTCTTGATCCCAACCAGAAAGAAAGTTTGGTTTTGGTTTCATGCTTAGTAATACATACAATAGCAAAACATGTTATATCACTTTGTATCAGTATTAATGCGCTCGAGACATCTTGCACAACGCACAAGACCTCTAATGCCTTCTCTCTTAGAGATTTATGGCTATTTTTAATTTACTAATACTTCTTCTATTCTGCATGTTTATGTGTTCGACAACTTTGTTGTTTACGAAAAAAAAATTAATTTTACTATCAAATTATAACAGCAAATACTGAAGTTATCATTACTCAATAGTTTTCGCATAAAATTTTAGAACACATAAATCGTTACAATATGATATTTGACGCAAGTCTTACATGACCATAAAAGATATCATTCACAATGAAGAAGTATTGGTCCTGATTCCGTTCGGATCCCTCCGGGACTGGAGTTATCTTACTCATATCTAGCTGAAATGCATCAACAAGATTAACATACATGAATTGTAGTAGATTTTTGTAATATTTTTCCGGCGTAGTCAATCACGGCAGAGCAGCTAAGGAACGTTTTAACTATATAGAAATACATTTATATTCAAAGTCTTTTCTTAAATTTAATGATAAATTTTATCTTAAATATCCACTAGTTACGAAATAGAACAGATCGAAAACAGTTTGTATTGAATTTGAATTGTCTCAAAATGACGTGGAGTGTTGGTCACATAATTCGTAGTCCAATTATTTATTGAACGTATAGAAGCAGTAGATAGTGATGGCAAATTACGAAATACAAAAGTTCGCGAAAAAGGGTTTCATACATCATTAAAATTATAAAAAGAAAATGCACAAAGATGTGCAAAAATATTACACGAAATACCTGATTATTTACGATCGGTCATGAAAAGTGATGAAAATCATATTTTCATATACATTAAGTTTTATTATAATTTACGTTTTTTGAAAAAATTTCTTTGCATCAAATTATTATAAATATCTTTGATCCACAAATAAAGATGCCAAAAAAAAAATAAAAATTCATGCACTTCGATCTTCTTCATGCATTCCAGTAATAGTTTTCGTTAGATAGCTGAAACTTTCGAACATTGAAATTATAGAAAATGTCATTGACATTTATTCTCAGTTATTATAAGACACATTTTTGTGTCTATTGGATTTAATTTATATGCTATATTAATTTATTTTACATTTATTTGAAAACGGTACGTTTCGATGATGCTGTAAGGAGAAAACTATGAATGCAGAAATGTAAAATATCTTATTTTACTGTTTTCAATTTTAAAGTTAGAAAATGACTAAGTTTGTCTTTTTCTAGAAAGTCAAATATAGGTTCCCAGTAGCCAAGAAAATTCACAAGTAATCACTCAATATGTTAATAATCATCGATGAAGTTGTAACTCCGAGCTGAGAAACCAATATGAGTCAAGATTGTTTGCGTTTGATTGCGCAAGATGTTTATATACACAATAGTAGTCAACTACTCGTCAGATGCGACATTATTGTAAGTCATTATAATGTGATTGGCCTTGCTTCATCAATAATTAGTAACAGTCAATGATCACTTCTGAACCTTATTGGCTAAGGGGTACATATATTTAACTTTCAAGAAAAAAGAAATTCTGAAGCATGCCCTAACTCTGTAAAATAAAAAATGGTGAAATGAGATATTTTTCTTCTTTGTATTATTATTTTTCTCCTTGCAGCATCATCAAATAGCAGTCTTTTTAAATAAATAAAAAGCAAACCAATATACGACGTAAGGGAGTGCTTCAAAATATATTCCGGTCGGTCGGTCGTCGTCCCTTCATTCCTTTATTCCACCGTTCCGCTATTCCACTATTCCTCAATTCCTTCATTTATCTATTCTTTTATTTATTCTTTTCTCTATATCTCTATTACAGAACATTTGATAATGTACCGCCTTCTCGTTCAAAAGTGAACTTTTTCTTTTATTTCACATCTTCAAAGATGATTAATTACTCTTTGAAAATATTATTCACTAATCAAACTATCGATTGCAAATCGAACTCAGAAATGCTCGTTCTGTATAGATAAATTTCAGTGTGAAACTATTTGAGTGCACATGAATAAAAAATTTTCTAATTAATAATGCAAACGTATCATTTTTTTCGAAGCGGTCTTCAATAACTTAAACTGTTGACATTTATGTCTTTGTTTTATTTGATTAGTAAGTGAAGACTAATGAATATCAACAGTTTAGGGTGACAATATTTCTGATCACCAAAAAAAGATACTTTTGATCACCACAACTCTTTGGATACTTTTGGTCACCAAAAAACGACACTTTTGATCACCATTTTTTAGTTTCTTCATTTCAAAATATTTATTTCTGAAACAATGCAACATTCACAATAAGAAAAGTCTGTATACTATTAACAACGTATTAAAAAATCACAAAGACCTATTCACAACTTGGGTGTGGGTATGGGTTTAGATATGAGTAAGGTGCCGGAAATGCAAAATTGGAGTGAATTTTGTTTCTCATTCTTTTATATATGGTTTGATAGGGCTTGAGAAGCTGATCACGAATATGTATTTTTTATCTCATTTCGACCTCTGTTTGACCAAGAAATCTTTAAAAAACTAGAGTGACTAAAAAAATGGAATTTTTACGTTGAATTTGTTTTTTCTATGGGGATTGTTAAATGAGTATTCCAGTTATTTTCGTAACTTTTTCAAAATACGATATTCTCAATCAGCATGAAAAAATGGGTAGAAAAATATAAATTCACTAGATGTAGAGCAAATACAGCTAAAAAAATCCTATCCGATATAAATAGGTCTATCAGGCTAAAAGTATGTATCAGTGAGCATTCTTGTAAACCTATCTAGTTTTTCTCAATAAAAGATAGAAGCAACTGTCTTATCTTATTAGAATCGTCGGGTCATAGGCTACAACTGTTACTATTTAGTTTTTTTAAATTCTCTTTGATTTTTGAGAAAATTGAATTTTTCCCATCCTTGCTGGTAACATGGAGCGAAAGGAAGAAAAATCTGTTAATATTTAACGGTTTTTATTATCATAATGCTGTTAAAAGACAAAATTGATTGCACATTCGGAATCAGCGTCAAAAACTGCATCGATTTATAAATGTTTAAGTAAAATCTATTTCCAATGGAAAATCGACCTGTGGTACCCCTCAGGTGCATTTTTTGAAAATTTCTCCNGGAATAAATCGAACTCACTTTAAGCACATAAACCAGAACTTACAGATTTACACTTTTATCGTTTATTTACATCAAATAAGAAATCATGAAAATAGAAATGAAAAAATGGTGATCAAAAGTATTGTTTTCTGGTGATCAAAAGTATCTAAAGAGTTGTGGTGATCAAAAGTACTTTTTTCCAACAGTTTAAGTTATTGAAGACCGCTTCGAAAAAGAATGATACGTTTTCATTATTAATTAGAAAATTTTTTTATTAATTCACACTCAAATAGTTTCACACTGAAATTTATCTATACAGAACGAGCATTTCTGAGTTCGATTTGCAATCGATAGTTTGATTAGTGAATAATACTTTCAAAGAGTAATTAATCATCTTTGAAGATGTGAAATAAAAGAAAAAGTTCACTTTTGAACGAGAAGACGGTACATTATCAAATGTTCTGTAATAGAGATATAGAGAAAAGAATAAATAAAATAGATAAATGAAGGAATTGAGGAATGGGGAATAAGGGAATAGAGGAATAGTGATGGAATGGGAATGGAATATAGGAATAGCGGAACGGTGGAATAAAGGAATGAAGGAACGACGACCGATCGACCGGAATATATTTTGAAGCGCTCCCTAAACGAAATCCAATACACACATATATATATATGTGTTTAGTTGACTTTATTAGTTATGGCATGAAGCATAAATGAAACAAAACTAATGAACGAGAAAGAAAAGAATAAATGATTGAAAAAGAAATTTCTTCTTGTCTATGAAAAAATTTAGTATTTTGAATTATCATTAAATATGTATCATTCTATTTTTAACGTAAGGATCGCCGCTCTCAAGAACATTATTTCATCCTTGGTATTTCTTTCTATTTCACTCAAAACTTTCATTTGAAAGTATAATAATCATTTATAACTGTCAATTCAGAATTTATTTTTGAAGGACATTTTTTTCTGCATTAATAGTTTATTTAAAAGAATTACAGGGCCTTCAGTTTGACATTTGATAATTTAATAAATAAAAATAAATCATTTTCAAGTAAAAGTCACGCAAATATGTTTTTTTACTTTGTTCTTGATAAAATGTGAAGAAACCTTGAAAAATATTCACAAGTATTTTAAATAATCAGTCGCTTGAAAAAAAAGTTAAATGAAAGTTGTTTATCAAGTTATTAATTAGTTTTCCAATTTAGATTAGAAACGAACAATCTGGTTTGACTTCCAAAAAAAGAAAATTATGCACAATAAATAGAATCGGTTAAAAAATTTCAATGTTTAGTTCTACAACACAACGAAACTCTTTCGAGATATATATCAATACAATAATATGATTAGCAGGAGAAACAAGTTTTTATAATCCACAAGATAGATTAATTGCTGCAATGTTATCGTTTGTTAATCTACAGATTTCATTGCATTGAAAATACTATTTTCAAAAAGGAAATCAACAATTATGTAGAAAAGTCTTTCTTTATGGTTCACCCGTCTGTCAGAAATCACGATTTTCGTCAAAATCATTTTTGATGCAGTTGGGTAAACGTCTTCCTTTAATACGATTTATCAAATTTAGTATGCTTGTTCGCAGTTTAGGCTCTTTCGGGGTCAAACTTTGTCTAACATTTTTCTCTAAGTAGATATTTCTATGTTTTCATGTTCTTGTGCTAAAGATTTTTCAGTCGTTTAACATGTTAGAAAGCTCACGAAGACTTTAGATTAAAGAGAATATTGCACTGAAAATTAGCAGAGCCGGAGTTTTCGATTTCGACTTTTAAAAAACTTGAATGCTTTACTGCAGAGGCACTCTGATTTTCTTTTTTTTTTTGAGAGAAAATTTCATTAGAAGTAAAAAAAACCAATATTTTGAAATATTGAGCTCTGTTAAATTATAGCAGCATATCTTGTCTACATTTTAAAATTAGTCCAAAATCTGTGTCATGATATTTCATGAAGAAATTCTTGTCATGCGAACAGTTACTTTTCGATTTTGGGTATTATGATAATTCAATCTTTTCGGTCAAAAATTTTTACTGAACTTTTAAGAGCTGGACACACATTTCCTTAAATTTTCAACCCGATCGACAGTTCTAAGGCAAAAACAGGTTTCTGACAGAAGGCGGTAGACCTTAAATCTTTTATCAGTATGAATGTTTGGTAATTTATGTTATGAAGTTTTTTAATTTAAATAAAAATATGTTATTGTAAATGAAAAGTTATTCTGTTCTAGTACGTCTATGATATTTATAGTAACTATCAAATACTCAGTGAAATTAGTCAAAATATAGAAAAAAACGTTTCCTGCTTGAGTTCTTTTTCTTTTTTTTAGAATAGTCAGACTCTTTTTCACATTTTATTCTCTTTTGATGAAAGTTGGTATTATCAAGGTCGTTCAAGCCAGAAGATTTCTGAATGGCTCTCAAAGAGAAATAAAATAAAACAAAGAAATAGCTCTCATTTGTAAAAGAAAATCTACTCTTTTTCTTCATATTTCATTTTGATAAAAAAAAAATAATATTTTTACTTTGTTGATACTTCATAATGATGTTGATCGATAAGAATATTATTTAAAAATTGTTTAATTTTTTCTCGCATGGATTGATCATCAAGATCATGTAAAAGATTTTGAGTTGATTGTCTTAAATTACTAGAAGACAACAAAAAAAAAAACAAATATTATTTTTATTATTTGAATTTGAATACTTGATTTGTTGCTTATATAATAATAATTGTTGATCTTGTTCTCTAATGGATATTTGAAGTGTATGATTTCGATGCAATAGTTTTGCAAGATCATCATAAACATGATATAGTTTTTCTTTTAAAAAAATTATTTCTTCTTGAAGAAGAAGATCATTATTTGTCGAAATACATGGGGTACATTGAGCTATTGAATGAAGATCCTTCAAAAGAAAAAAAAACGAAGAATAATCAAAGTATTATTTAAAAACAAAAATTAGTTTTACGTTTTGAGTTAATCGTTGTATAAGATGAGTATTATCTTGTTCTAAATGATCAATTTTCTCTTTTAATAACTGACATTGTGTTTTTAACTCAATATTATGTAATAATAATTGTGTATGTTGAATTTGATTTGTATCGAATTTCTTTTGTAAATGAGCATCTATTGAACATAAAAAAATAAAAATAAAAGAATGAACAGTATAATAAAAAAAGAAACCAACATTGTTCATCATTACGACGTGTTAGATCATATTCATGTAAATGAATATTAGTTGTTTGCAATTGTCTTTTAAGAAAGATTCTTTTTTTTATTAAATTTAAATTTCATTATTTTAAAAACTTACTTTCGAAGTTCGATTATTTCACTTTGTAATGGTATTAATGATAATTGAAATTGTATCTTATCATTAGCATATGATAGAGCCAATGAAAGAAAATTTTCAAGTTCATTCCATAAATGATAACATTCAGGATCTGAATATTATTTTTTTTAAACGAAAAATTATTTTTTTTTTTTTGAAATAAAATATTTACCATTAACATTGTTAGAATTTTGAGCTCGAATTTGTTTTGAAATCGTTCGTATACGTATTAAATATGTAATAAATTGATCAAGAATAAAACGTTTTTGTTCTTGATGCATAAAATTAGATTTTAATGATTGTATATCACTACAAGATGAACTTCGTACAAATTCTTCTTTAGTTTGTCTACGATGATGTAATGATGATGGAAGAGAGTTTTTTTGAGATTTATTATTTGTTAAAGAACTATTTTTTAACGGAGATGTCAAACGTTGATGAGTGTTTTGTGTTGGAGATGGAGAACGTGCAATATTTTTACGAGATTTATTTGAACTTACACGATTCTTTAATAATGATGTTTCCTAAATTAATATAATTATCATTATTTCTTAAACAATTTTATTTTAAGATATAAAACAACATTAATTTTCTAAAAAGTGAACTTTTTTTCTTTAAAGAACCACTTTAGATTTGTCATTCACTAAGTCATGCACAACGTAAGACAAAAGAACAGAATCAGTCTGTTGTATTTTAATTTAAAATATTTATAAAACTGTAATAGTTTCAGAAAAAAGAATAGGAGGAATTTTCTGTAAAAACATACCTCTATAGTTCCTTCATTTACTGAATGTAAAAGTTTATTTTGTGAATAAGATGATCGATGTTCATTTGTTTCTTTACTGTCATTGATGTCTGAAAATAAGATCAAATATTTTATTGTTACTTTGCTTTTTATTTTTTAATCAGATAAACATACTTGTTCTGACGAATGATGGTTTAGTAACAGTTACTTTCCTATTCTGTTTTTTCGACCTTGTATTTATTAATGATTGTTGTTGTTTTTTCCGATTTACTTCATAAATAGCTGAAGATTTAGCATTTCGACGTGATTCTTTAGTTTATTATTAACAAAGAGAAAATACTTCCGACATATATATTATTAATCTTACCTTGAACACGTAAAATATTCCGTAAAAGTTCACTACATTTATCAAATTCTTTATTTGTTCTATATATAAGCGTTCTTGACATGGATGATTTGACTAGAGAAATAGTTGGTATTGAGTGATGTTCAATTACCACTGTGTCATTCTAATAAGAAATAAAAGAAAAAAAAAACCAAGGTGTGAAAATAATTAATGTTACTTCGTCAAACACACTGAAATCATTAGTTTCATTTCCTTAGTTCTTATCAAACATATCAATTTTAATTAGTTCTATCATTAATTTATCTATGATTGATAAAGAATGAAACATATATTTAATAATACAATTTATTATTAGAACATATGTATGTATTTGCTTACGGATGTTTATATTTATATATAGAAGCAAATAATGCAACACATTGTGTTTACCAACGAGGAATAATATAGAAGAAGAGAATATAGAGAACAAGGTGAAGAGATTTTTTAATTGTTGATTTTTCGTACATGGTTTAAATCAAGAAAAGTATTAGTTATTATAAGTTGGATTTTATTTGATTATTTTAAGAATAAATCGAAGAAAAATAAGCTTACTTTCATTATAAGACGAACGATGAATAAAACAGCTGTTATTTCTCTTTTTCTTATGACTGCGGTGTTGTTACTTTGACAGTCAGATGAATTCTCATCGATGACTTGAATTTATTGTTCTTCCAATGATGATGATGATTTCAGGTGCAGACAAATAATGAATATGAATGTCAAAATGAATATATGAATGTCAGTATCTTTGAAAGTAAAAGAGAATTTTACTCAAAATGAAAAAAATACTTCGCTCACTTTTTCTTCACAATCCGTTCTCACGTCGTCAAACATCTGAAAGAAGCAAGACTTCATAGGAAAAAAGAAAAAAAGTTAAAGAATAAAAGCAGAAAGGAGAAATGCTGCTTAATGAGAGCAACATGTGTATTTGCGAGAGAGAGAGAGAAGGCAGAAACTGTTATTTATCTTCCAACTCGTTTTTTTTTTGTCTACAACTATTGTCTAAAGATAAAATGTTCACAAGTGAGTGTTCAAGGAAAGTATGCACAAGCACCTGCCATTTTAGTTTTTGATCAAGTACAAAATGAATGAGCATAAGCAACAATAGTAGTCATATAAGTACATTATGCACACCACTTGACGTCAATCAAACTCAAATCCAAAATGTAAAAAATGGTGGTAAAAGAATAAAGATTTATTATACTTCTGTTTTTTTTCGTGATTCGAACAAGAAGTTTCGTTTTTTTTTAATGTTCTTTAACAATCTAGGAAATAAATGACGGTAAAGAAATTGCTATTCTTGATCATTTAACTTATGACCGAGTTGATAAGACACACTAAAGAAAAGTATTCCGAAAGAAAAAAGAAACAAAAAATTGTAATTGCATGTCAAAGAAAAAGAAAACTATATTAACGTTTAATCTTTGCACGGAAACATTTATGTATACTTATGAAATTTAAAAAAAGGTCAATTGTGCTTGTTAAATAATGTCGATAGAAATGCATTTTCTATTATTCTTTAGTCGTCAAGAGTTATTTACTACCGGGAATAACTATCTAATCATTATTTGTTGATTCTTAGTTATTCTTCAAAAGTTATATGATTTCAATACCAATTTCTATGGTGATATTTTTCAGTTGATCGACATTTGAATTTACATATTTATTTTTTTTTTGTCCAAATATGCAGATCACTTTGAAAATCAAATGTCAATTTGTTAAAAAAGTTTTTTTTTTTTTTGACGACGACGAAGAAGAATATCTTATTCCTTTTCAAATAAGTCATCAGACATTTCTACTTGTCTTGTCCCTGATCATATTTATGAAATGTTTTTTTTAAATGTCTATTCTAAAATCGAATTCGAGTGGTTTGATCAAGTAAAAATAAAAATATTTGCATTCATCAATTCTTCATATTAAGAATCAACGGTAAACAATCGCCATAAAATGATCATTAAGAATTTCAATTGTTTGTGTTGTTATTATTCTTACGGCTATCGATATTTGTTGAGTAACACTCAACGATTTCATCTATGATTTACAATCACAATGAGTCACTCATTGAAGTGTTCTAACTTAGGTTTAGAATAGAATAGAAAGCATTATCATAATATGAACTATTGTTTACACACAAAACATATTGATTTCAAACTAACAAGATCCAGATACTTTGTTTTTAATGTAGGGGCTGTGCATATATTTTGTCTATCATTAGGGAGGAGGAGTCCTCAAAAAAGTGATGAGTAATGATGGTAAAGGTCAGTGGCTTTAGTTCGGCTTCTACAACATTACCTGAGATTGAAACTATTAGATCATTCGATGTATATGAGAATTTAAAACATTTTTTCTCATCTTGTAGATAAAATGCTAATTTCGAAGTGAAACTTTTGATGTTTGTTTTAACTTGGACTTCTTTTTATTACAATAAGTACATCTTTTCGCTGTTTCTTTTATAAGAGAATACATTTTATTCTTAAAATAAAGAATACTAGATTGTAGAGATGCTAGTTTGAACTTAATTCTAGAAGAAACTCTTACAAGATTTATCTACTCAATGCCGAAGTAGAGAGACTTCGCCACTAAAATCATGTTATTTGATTTTCATTTCAATGAACAAGTCAATGAGACCAGGAATAGGTATATAGATGCACCCCACTCTAGAGAGTAAGAATGTTCTCGAAAATTCCCGAAAGACAATATTTAAGGACAAGAGAGAGAAATCATACTGTCACTGTTTAGTAGCACAAAGAAAAGGTATACATAAGATGACAAATGAGACAAACTATAACCTCTATTGCCTTGCAGGTCTAACTGTTTAATGTAAACAAAACATTTTCTTTTCCTCTAATGAAAAACTGGTGGAATATATGTTGTCCCATTCTTCTCAAAAAGTGAATGACTTCACATATCTTCGTACTGAAACAAAATGATAGTATACATAGATAGTGAAATCGTTAATGTCAAGTAAGAAAAATTGAAGATTTATCAACATAAATTTAAGAATTTTTGTACGTATCTGATAATTTAACGGTTCTACTTCGGCTACCGATTCCAAATTTTTTAGAATCGCTATATTCTAAATGATAGGTAGTGAGTTTAACGCCATGATAACGTCATTAATAATTATATGATATCATTTCTTTCATAGATAAAAAGAGCGCAGATGATGTGATTATTGATATTATAAGGTGTCGAAATTCTGCGATGTATTTTTCTCATTAAATAATATATAGGAGCATTTTCTCAAATAGCACACATTTCTTATTTGAATAATGTGATATTTCTGATGTTTTGTCGTCGTTATCTACTTTACACTCTCTTTATTGGTCTAGTAAACTTCTATGCATAAACAAAACAAATAAATGAAATGGAAAAATTGAGATGAAGTTTGTCTTCCTGAACAGATTCCAACTACGATAACAAAACACTTGTAGCGGATACTCTATGAAAAGTGATTCTTCACTTAATCTTAATTTGAATAACATATCAATAAACAGAATATAACGCAGTTAGTTATAATGTGCATGAACTGTATTGAATATCATGACAATCAAAGAATGAAGAAAACAACGTAATGGAATCAATGACTTAGATATAAAATGAAATAGTTAAAGTATTGAATACATGAATAAATTAATGGTGTTTCTCTTTCGAAAGTTTAACTGAATATATGATGAAACAATGAATATTGCTTGTCGTTATTAGTTTATTGATATGAGAAGTATTTCAAAGTAAAAAAAACAAAAAAAAATTAAATATAATTCCAGTTCCATTATTTGTATATAAATATTTTAGCTTCCTAATTGGATACCGTATTTTGATGAATAATGACTAATTTACGACGTTCTTCCTTGGTATATGGAGGTCGCGAACCACTACCATAAGAAATGGATACAACTGTACTTCGTCCATCATGTAACTTGATCTGTGACAAAAGAAAACAATTTAAGTAAAAATCATACAATCAAAAATGTTCTCAAATATCACAGTAGAAAATAATTTTTCTCGTTTTTCATTTGAGGGTATTTGGTTTTTACCTTGACATTATTCTCTTCTAATTATTTAATTTCAATTATTCAACAAAATATAACTTTTCTAAGAATTTCTTTTTTCGTTATAAAATAAATTCTTTTATATAGAAAAGGTTTTTTTTTTAGGAATTACATACGAAAAAGTCAAGGTCATATCCTTTCATAGTTGAATATTCAATATTTGCAGGTTGTAATTTGTACGTCTCTGGCAACTCAGGATATGCATCACGTACTTTTTCTTCAATTACATCGCGAAACTAAATAGAAAAATTAAAAAAATAAATATCAAATAAAAATTATTTTCATGACGTACTATTTCGAATTTTTGTCGATACCATGGGCTTTTAGCTAATAGTGATGTTGATGTAGCAGGCATCAATACTGCACGTACTAACGATGGATTATAAGTTGTAACTGATATTTTATTGGTAAGAAGTGTGTCGTCTATTGTTGTTTCATTCATTCATGTTTTGTTCTTGAACTAAATAATATCTAATCCATTCTAGTAATGTTTGATTAATCGTTTAGTCAGTAAAGAAGTGACATGCATAGCCGATGAAAAGGAGAAAAATAAAACAAAATAGATGAAACCCTATTGTTATTCTTTATAATCTATACTCTTATCACGCTTTTTGCGTATATGATATTATAAACAAGTTTTGTTTTTTCATAATATTAGTGTATATATGTATATATATACAAGAAATGTTGACATATAAAGAAATTATTGTATTTATATATGCAAATTGTTACGCATGGGTTTCTATTCATTTGTTTATGAAAGTTGACAGTTTCACATTTTACAATGTCTTAGAACATGTCTTATTAGATGAAGGCATATACATGCACCGCATTAGTATCATATTATTAAAATGCCTTACAATAATGGTTAGACACCATATGATGATAAATAATCAAGACTTATTTTTAGGTTCTATTTAGTGTTTGCAAGGTTTTCATATTCTGATATATGTGTGAATTGTTTTGTAGGAATAACGGTTCTTTCCCTTTACTTTATAACTACTTGAAATTATTTTCTTATTATCGTAGGAAGCTTTAATTAACTTTTTTAGGTATTTATCATTTTAATCGATAGTTTTTATACAGTCTTATTGGATTCAAATTAAATGTTAGCTCTGGAAAGATAATTTGTTAACACTAGTATTGAATTAATAAAGAAATGTGTTTGTTTTGTATATTTCTCATCTGTTGTTCCTTCGTAATAACTCCGCATAAATATATCAAATAAATACTTCAGTTTAATCGTACTATAAATAAGGTCTTTTTCAAAATTCAGTATCAACTTCTTTCTCTCTTTTTTTTTACTACAATAAACATTAGCAAGTGAACGTGCTGAACAATTAGAAAATACGATTGTAACTCATTGAACAAATTTATGGCAGAATAAAGCATGTCAATAGTGAGTATTTGATCGCTTACGATCATAAAAGTGCCAAAATTAAACCTTATTTAGTAGGATTCATAAATCATTTAGATGGTTATTTGCTACCTTTGTTATCCTATCTCATATAAATCTTAAACAATGTCATCGACAAAAATATGAAATAATTATGAATGAATGACCTTCGACATGATACATTATTTCATCTAGTGATAGATCATCGTTTTCATTTGAACATACATGTGAGCAAAATATTATTCAAACAATGTTTTTATGATATTCAACATGTTCCAATGACTGAAATTTAAATAATTGTCGGTCCAAGTCTTTTATTCAGCTACCTAAACATTGAAAGAAATAATAAATGATATGTTTCTTTTCCTTTAATCTTTTTTTGTTGTTCGTATTTGATGGTTAATACATGCATATAAAAGGATGTATTAATATAGCACATACTAATTAGTATTTCGTTTAGTAAAAAATATGAAAGTTTAATAAAAATCATTCACTTCAATCTTTTCTCCTAGTAACCATGTACGTTCGTGAATTATTATTTACATGAATTTATCTTGTCAAATGAGACCATATACTACAAGAATAATCTTGATTATATTATAGATTAAGATGTGTGCATTGATAAAAAGAGATATTCTGTTTAATTTAGTTTGTTGCATTACTAATTATAGAGAAGATCAAATTAAATAATTCGTCATTCGTATTAGAAACCATAAAAATTCATATTGTTCTTTTGAGTCACATATGTTCACCTAATAAATGAAAATTACGACCGGTAACAATCAAGAACTTAATTAGATAATAATTTCTAAATGAATAGGTCAAAGTTAAATAAACAAAAAATTGCTAATGAAAATAATATATTACGTTGCGATCAGTTATCCGAATTGGTTTCAATGATACTATTTGATAAAACTCTATTATATCAAGGTGTAGTACATGTTTTACTATTGTAGTCACTATTGACGGACCTTTTACATTCATTGAAATCATAAGTCTTAGAAATCAATTAGATGGTTCATCTATGACGCGCCTAGTATCTGATTCATTATTTCGAAAAAGAAACGATCAATGTCTCTTGTAAATCTACATATTTTCCTTTTTCTTACGATCACTCTCTTATTCGGTATAAAAATAACAAACGCTGATACATTTTATTGTAGTCTTCACTTTGTTGTTGACTATCCACTATGGACATTGGTATAATCATTTAGATTTTTTTTTCTTTGTTTTTGAGAGTTCGTTATTTTCAATTGTGATCTATTATTACTTAGACATACACAACACGAGCAGATCACGATTATTTTCGAACAAATGCTTTACTGAGTACTTATATCTATCGAAATGTAGAAGGACTCAATGAACTCTACAGTCGTTATCATTTTCCATATACGTCAAAAACAAAAAATATTACTGTACAATTCTTTGTACATGGTATAACAGGTAATTCATTCATGACGTTTGTATAAAGATACCAGCAATATATTCAACTAATATTTTAGTTGTGACACAAAATATATGTGATCAAAATCATACTAATAACAATGATCTAGAGAATCCTATACGAGAATTTTGTTCAACAAATATAAATAGTGATAAACTTCTTGATCTAATTGCTCGTTTTGGTGATTATGATAGAAAAACAAGTAATAATGCACCAGCATGTCTTTATTATGGATTTACATCAAGAAAACTCAAATCACAAAATAGTAAAGCAACTACATTAGGTACATATGAATCGACAATTATTATATTTAATCAATGTTTACATTGCATATTTTTAGGATGGTCATGGAGAGGACATCTTTGTACTGAATTAAAAGAATTGAGTAGTTGGTCACCAAAAAATACTGGTTTTAATCCTCGATATTCTGCTAATGTAGGCGTTGTTACAGCTAGTTTTGATGGAAGTGAGTAAGTATATACATATTTAATGATGTATTAAGATCTATTTAATATTTCCATGTTATAGTTATAGCTTGAATAAGTATGTTTTCTATTATAATAAAATTTCTTTTTCGTTTTTTAAAAAATATTATATATAATAATTAGAGGTGAAATGACGTTTTTTCATGAAATTGGTCATTCAATGAATGCCGATCATGATGATGCAAATGATTTTAAAGATCGACAACAAGAATGTAATCCATCAGATGCACAAGGTGGAAGTTATCTTATGTATCCAACTGGTACGGAAGGACTTTTGCCAAATAATCGAGTTTATTCTCATTGTTCACTTGATACGATTTCGTATGTATTAAAATTTCAAAAAAAGAAATCTTTCTTTTTCAAACCTATTACTTGATGTTTAATTATATAAACGTTAGAAAATATACAGAAATACTTGCTCAATGGAAGCCAAAATGTTTGTCAACTACAAAGACAGTTAAAAGCAAATGTGATGGTATTTTTTCAGTAGGCGAAGTGTGTGATGAACATGGTACGTCTAGCAACTGTTGTACGTCTGATTGTAAACTCAAATCAGGTGCTGTTTGTTCACCAGCAAGTTTTTATTGGAAAGAAAAACAAATAAAAAAGATTAATAGTTTTTTTCTTCTGTAGTCTGCTGGTTCATGTTGTAAATCTTCATGCCAATTTCACCCTGCTGGTCATCATTGTCATCCGGAAAGTGAATGCAAAATGTCTATTGAATGTTTAGGAACTTCAGCAACTTGCCCTGATGATGATAGAACATATTTTAAACCAGATAAAACTATTTGTCGTGATGGTACTTTACTTTGTATAAATGGTTCATGTGAATTATCTATTTGTGCATTACATTCTCTTTTACCTTGTCAATTAAAAGAGTCTGAAGATAAATTATGTATAATTGCTTGTCTACAAAAAGATGGTTCATGTGTACCTTATCATACAATTGATATGAATTCAGATTCTTCTAAACCTTTGTATTTTCCATGTAAGTAAAAATAAGATCTAAATTATTGATAATAATAATCATTATTTAGATGGTTCATTATGTGATTCGAATCGAGGATATTGTGATCAATCTCATAAATGCCTTCCTTTATTATTAGATGATAGTACAAATCTAATTAGTGCTGGATTTAGTTCTCTTCTTCTTACTAACTATTCAACTATATTTAAACGTTATTGGTGGGCATTCGTATTATTCATTCTCGCTCAAATTATTTTAATTCCTATTGTTCTATTATACTTTCGTAGTCGTTGTATTCCTTCAGATAATCCTTTTCTTCAATAAAATATTTATAAGAATAACAACGTTTAAATCTTTTCATATAAGTATCAAATTAACAGATATAATGTGTGTAATTCTTCTTATCACCGTAATCCGCCCATATTCGAGTACAAATCGAAAAATTTTTTAATGAGTTAACATGCTGATATAAGTAATACTAATTGTATAAAAGACAGAACAGCACTATTTAATGAACAAATAAAATTTAAAAAAATAAATTCAAGTTCAATTAGAGCATGGTAAACAGCTCGATCTAAATATTGATCATTACTTATTGATTGGTCGTTCTTTTGAGTAGAACATGACTACAAAAACGATCTTTATAATTTGGAATATGAATTTGAATTTTTACTTCAAATAAGCGCTAGGGAGCTACACAGTTACACGCTAGGACAGATGGTTGCTTGGACACTTTCGTTCTCGCTTGGATCCACGCTGAATAAACTATTGATGAAAACACAATAAAGCAGAGTTTCAGCATTGGAAAGAACGATCTTTGACCCGTCTTTGTGTATACATTCGTTAGGATCAAAGACGTTTTCCGTGACTGTTTGTCCACTGATATGTTTATTGTTCTGTACTTTCATAAATTTTTATGATAAATTAACCTCAAATTATTCCACATTGTAGTTCGATTTGCCCTACGTACAAAGTTAGCGTTTGTGTAGATAAAAAAGCGACACTTTTCATGATTGAAACGCAAAGGGTGGTTATTTCGAAAACCGGATTGAGGGTAACCTGCATACACAAACAATATTAACTTGCTTGTACTCTTCATATAAAAGTAAATGTTTGACAAAAGGAAGTGTTAACAATACTTGGAATTTTCTTTCCTTTCTTAAAATATGAATATTAAATTTCTCCGCTATGATTAAAGTCTGTGTCAAGGCTACAACAATAAAGAAAACCCGCTCTTTACCTTGAATGAAAATCACAAAATTATAGAAGAGTACAGCACTGCTATCAACAACTTGAACACTTATCTTTCGTCTACTTAGTAAGCAGTAGCTCGGATACCATTCATGTAGTAGTGAGATGTTGAGTGAGACATTAGTGAAACGATGCGCCTTGGTTGCCCATTTACAATCTGTTACTTAGTGCAGTCAACTTTTGTCTAGTTTGTTAAATATTTAACGTCATCAGTATTTGCTTAAGCGAGAACTAAAGACATATCGATTGAGGTTCTTATCTTTTGTTATAGAGGCCCTTGACTGTAACTTGATTTAATAGAATAGGCGATCGGGTTTTCTATTGACCAACTTTAAACAATTTCAACTTTTCTTTTTTAACTTCTTCTCTCCCTTGTTTTTCTTTTTCTTTAGTTATTTATATCTTCAACACACACAAGAGAGAACGAAGAGAAAAAAAATACAACAACGAGAGAGAGGGAGAGAAAATACATAGGCAGAAGGTACAGACCGGGGGGGGGGAGCGATAATAAATATTCTCGTCTACGTTCGGACTAGACTGCGTAATAATGAAGATAATGTTAGGCATCTTCAAAAAGTACTTAAAGTTGGAGCACAAAAGAAAGGTTGAGAATTTATTGAAATTCTCAAGGAGAAAAGAACGCAGGAAGAGAAAAAAAGATTAACCTATTTGTACTAAAATGGATAACATATAGCAGAATGAATACACACATACACATAACAAATGAAGATGAATTAAATATATAATAAATCATGATGAATGTTGTTAGAGTGCTCTCTAGCATCTTTTTATACTGATTGGAAAAAGGCGAAAAGTTTTCGTTTTTTTTTGTGAAACAATGGGCTAAAGGCACATTACCAAAGTTGTAAATCTGCAAGATTGGATCTCTATCGACCTGCAGGCTTTCTGAGACGGATCATTTTTGGTCCTTGTTTTAGGGATGGTCATTAGGAAATGTAGGATTGTTTTGAAGTGCCCTAGTTGTTCCAGTTAAGGAATAGTTTCAACAAAATATAGATTTTTCAAAAAACGCGCTGTAATTTTAATTGTAAGGACAAAGTCGCACTCAATCTCTAATTATAGGATCTATAAATAGTAATAGCTCTAGATCGAAGCGAAAATCATCAAATTAAGTTTTGAGGAGACAGTAGTGTTGGTTTAATTCAATCGTAATTATATGAAAGTCTTAATTTTGCCAGATTACCCAATGATCTTTTCTATTCAGAATGATAGAGAAATTCAAAACTTTTGCGTTTCAAAGAAATTTTTTATATTTAAGGGTACTATGAATAGCAGTACTGCACTTTATTTGCATACATACAAGTGGAATTGAAATATTTCAACATGATTCATCTTTCATGAAATTTAGCGGAAAGCACAGTTCGGATTTGAGTTGTTGAACATCTATGGCGTTTCCTTCAGTTGTGTGTGGCACTAATTCAAACTACTTTGATCAATTTGATTTTGATTATCTACGTGTATAACTCAACGTGTATCTTCGAATAAATATGGATTCAGTATTTAGGTTCGATCTTTCTGTATTTGCTCTTCTTGACCAGTTACTTGATAGAATTTCTTTCTAACGAATGTATACATCTTTTTCTTCGTCAAAGCTTTATTTAAAAATAAAACATGAGTACATAAGATATTTTAATACAACAATTTCAGTTCACAATTCTTCACATCAGCATCAAGTACAGATAAACAACTTTCCATTTGTTTTACTATTGGTCCATATTCATATTCACTTGAATAAGTTTCATTTTGTACCTGATTAATTAATAATCGTTGTTCAGTTAGGAGCCATCCACATATCATTTCAATACTAGGAAGGTAGGAGGAGATCCTGAAAAAGTAACGAGTGATAACGGAGAGCGGGAGAAGGCCAACAATTTGAATGGCATTATCAATAGTTATACGATGTTATTTCTCTCTTAGACAAAATGAACGTGAGTGATGCAGTTTTTTTAGAAGTGTCAAAATCAAGTGAATGATGATTGGATATAAAGCGATACAGGATGAGACAAATAAAACATTGTTCTCTTTTTAGCTAATGTAATGTAATACAGAATAAAGCGAACAGTTTAAACGTATTTTCTGTAATTTTCTAAGCATTTTCCTCTCTAAATAGTAAATAATAGGACACATGTCTTCGTTATGATTGTTTGTCTTTCGACAGGATATCCAGCGGCAAATATTTAGCAACAAATGGTTATTGATAAGGATTATGATGATAATAACGCAGGTGATTACTAGCTGAAAATCAATTTGAATGATGCTAGTCGAAACATACAGAAAATCTAGGAGGAATAAGTAGACAATAATAAAAACTCGGCATCTATCATATTTAACATGTTTGAGCTTTTAAATCAGATTTCGAAAAAATTAAGGAAAATAAAGATTAGTATTATTTAAATAGTTTCATGTCTTATTGCTATTTTTAATGTCGTATTTCCAGTGTTTTTTCTTCACTTTTTGCTTTACATTCTCTCTCTCTCTTGATGTAGGTTGGCTGTTTTTTACTAGAGAATTAGTGTCCATTTTGATTGATTTTGTGGTTCTTCATTAATTGTTTTTCTTATGTTAAAAATTATATTCCTAAACAAAACAGACAAATAAAAAAGCAAAGTAAGGATAAGTTTTGCCTTTGTGTACAAAAGAGAAGGACGAATAAGGCCGTTTTACGTCCCTCCCTATAGTTTATTTATTTCTATCAAATTCGAATGAGAGATATGTTTCTCATCACTTTTTTCAACTTTATTCTCCTAAAAACGACGTTGACCATTTTTGTGCCTGACCTCTCGCATGGGCATCATGGAAAAACAAATTTCGTTTTTTACGAATCAAAACCAGATGTACTTGTAGACTCAAGGGTACTGATTACAAATATCACAACAAGTACTTTGAAAACTCGTTTATTCATGAAATAGTCGTAACCACTCTGTGGACTCTATTTTTCATTGTTGAAGCCCTCATGGAATATCTATTTGTTCAAGTTTAGTAGAAAATATCTTTTCTACCACAGAATTTCAAGTTATCTACGAATCTGAACTTTTTACGCCGAAAAAAATATAAGCTTCGAAAAAACACGACCGTTCTGGAATACGCACGACACTGGCCTTTTCTCACTATGTTTTCGTACATATGTACAATTTTCAGCAAGAAGACAGTCTTGTTGCAAAACCATATTTGAACCAAAATGGTAATTTCTTAGTATCTTTCGGTTGACGGTCTAAGTGATCAAGAAAAAAGGGTAAAACTAGGTCTAAGGCCTGAAATACGAGAAACTCGTGAGTTTTCACTATATTTACCTGTGTTCTTGCGATTTTCGAACATAAAGAGAAACATACTACGATCTCGAATTCGCATCATAATAGTTTTGTTTTGATGTTCAGTCATTGGAGAGTCTTATGCACAGAAAAATAGCATAGGACAATATGCAGATTATTAGAAGATGACATAATTTAGTCATATACATGAAAAAAACTAAGGTAATATCTGTACTCTAATATCGCTTGAGTATTGCATTAATTGTGTACGACCTGATCGATATTATTTTTAATATTTCTTGTTGTCTTTGGGATATCGAGTATCTGACGAGGTTTTTGGAAATGCACCCTAAGTATAAGACTTGCTGAAATGTCTTGAGTGTTCTACATTTTGTTTTCGGAGTTTTTGTCTGCAACTAGCACAATATTTGCTATCAATGCATCATATGTATAAGAAAAATTGTATTACGATTTTGACACCTAGGATAAGAGGAAAAGAAAAAAAAGAAATGCGATACACATAATCAAAGATTCCATATATTTGTCCTGGAATATTCATCTATCTACCTGAACCGAAGACATATCTAATTTGAACATCCATATACAAACACTGATGGACACGTGTTTACGATTGTGGTGACAATATCGTTGATTCATTTTCATTCTAATTCTCCTTTTATCATTGAAATAAAAGACAAAAACGAATAACGAAGCTGATTAACTGAAACCAGAAGAGAGACACTACGATTTTTCCGTTCTTTTTTTCGACATATGCAATACAATGTTGTGCTCATTTGCTTGTTA